TTTTCAAGACAAGACTCTCTAGCTCTGTCTCTGATGGACTTCTCGCCATTCCAAGATTGAGAGACTCCACCACTACACTGTTTCTTCTCCTTGTCATGATGAAGGACAAACTATCTGATGAATACAGTGGCAAACAATGGAGGGAAGGTGGGGAAGTCAAAACAGCCATGCGGAGTGCATCAGCAAGGTCTATTCCAGTATGCATGCAAGATAAGATGCAGGGGCTTGAGTATGCATGTCTGTTGACATTTAGTGGCTGTCCATGCCCCCAAATGAAATCAATTTAAAGTGATATTTAATGGATTTGTCATAAAATAGCTGACAGAAAGGGTATTTATGCAAGTAGAGACCCAGAAAAGAACCTATGTCCAAACTGTTGCTCAATTGTTAGGGCCCAGCCTCTATGTTTTTGTCTTATATCCAAACTATGCACACCACAGTATTCACATTTTCTGAACAAGAGGTAAACCCCTAGTTAGGTCAAACCATCATTTACCTCTATAGCTATAGGAATTGTAGAAAAACAGGTATTCAGAGATGAAACTGAAGCTCTGAAATCACAGCTCCTCTTCCCTTACTTTCTCTAGCAGCAGATTTTTGACAGCCTGTCAGCCTTTTAATGAAAACAAGCACCAGGTGCTTTAAAGATGTTAGAAAGCAACATCAAAGTCTCTTTTTTGATCTATGAATTGCTTCACAGTTCAGAGTTCATTAGGGGCTTGTTTTAAAGCTTTTACTGCTTCTTAAGTAAAAACTTGAATAACCATCGTCTGGCACTGTATATGTAACAGGACACATTTTGCTTCATTAGAAATGTAAAAGAAATATTGGATCACTGAAGTTTTGTATATGCTGAAAATATTTGTATAAATATTTGAGAATGCTGTTAGTAGTTCTTTCCATACATGTCATCTTGAATTTTAGAACTCCTGGGCTGTTTTCAAATAGGTAAATCTAATGTACAGCGCTGAGCAAACCCTTTGGCGCTATATAAACATTATATAATAATAATAATAATAATAATAATAATAAATATATAAAGCAAGACTTAATTTATCAAATAAAAATATATTTCAATGTAACACGATTATTCCTTTAGAATAAGCAGGGTTTCTATTTCATGCACATGTTTTCAAGAGCGAAAACTCTTTCAGCCAGCCTAGTACTTGTGTCAGTGATAACAAAAGCATAGCTTACAATGACATGTTCATTGTATAGTGCCTCATTATCTGATGGACAGAAAAACAAACAAAATCAACCAGTGCTATTCTCACGGGAGAATATAGTGCAGGTTTTCATTATCGTGTTGATAATACTGTTTGCCCATAGTTCATTATAAAGAAATGGAAGGCGCTCTAACATAATTCAGCATTCTATCCTAGGAATCTTCTGCATGTGCCTTTTTTATTTGCAGCAGTTAGGTTAATGAGCTACCAGCCCACTTGATGTTAAGGACTTTATAACAATACAAAGTCTCATTAAATGCTGCCTGGCATCACTCTCTTGTTGCAAAGGAACATTCAGATTATTGAATGGCTTTGTGCTCCTCATTGCCGTTTGGCTATGGAGTACAGCAGTGGCATCTTTCCCACACACTTCTGGCAGTCATCCAGTCATACGCCTGCCCTCTTCAAACGGCATGGGTATTTGCCAATCTAAGCTGTACTAGTAGACAAACAAGGATGGCGCACGACTGTTTTGGAATGGTTCCAAACCTGCAGCTGAATGATTTGGCTTTTTACTGGCCCTAATTTCCTTCACTTGTATTTTTTTTCAGTGGCTGTTAAGGTGTTTGGTTGTATTTAAAAGTTTGGAAGTTGCCTAACTGTAGATTTCTTCATAATTTTGAATTGGTTCAGATATATAATAATTAACAAAACTTTGTGAAGCATGCACTGTCATAGGAAACAAAGATTATTTTGGATAGATCTGGGACTGCTAATGTTTAAAACATATGGGTTGATTTACTAAAACTGGTGAGTGCAGAATCTGGAGCAGCTCTGCATAGAAACCAATCAGCTTACAGTTTTTTTTTTGTTAAATCTTAAAGTGGCTCTAAAGATTAAAGGTTGTTTACCTTCATGAATTATATGCATGAAAGTAAAAATCCTTCAGTGTACTGCTCCCCCTGCAGCTCCCCTCCAATGCTTACCCAAGCCAGATCTTAGTCCAGAGATGTGTACGACACCCTCAGGTCTGTAAGGTCTGTCCCTTCTCATTTGCCAAGACACAGCAGCAGAACCCATTAGTCTCCACTGCTGTCAATCACAGCTAGTAAGAAGGGAGTGAGGAGCGGGACTGAGACACGCTTTGTGTCCCATAGACACACAGAGGTGGCTTGGGAGTGAGCAAGCACGAGTGCCTCCAGAGCACGCAGCTTGCTCTGGGGGCACTCAGCAAGGGGGGGGGGGGCTTAAAGCATCAGTGGGGGACCCGAGGAGAGGAGGAACGAGGCTGCTCTGTGAAAAACCATTTCAAATTTTTAAAAATCAAGCCTTTAATATCACTTTAATTGAACAAGCTGAAGTTGGCAGCTAATTGGCTACCATACACAGCTGCACCAGATTTTGCACTCTCCAGTTTAAGTAAATCAACCCCCTAATGTCTATGAAAAGCTTAATATGTAGTTCCACTTCTATGTATATTTTAATAATAAATGATGCATGGAACAATACCAATTTCATCATTAAAATGGTTTACCTTTTTATTTATTTATTTATTATCTATTTCTTATGGACTTCCCTTGGGTGCCTGTACAAAATGCTCATAATCATTTGTGAGTTTTTGAAGGAATCCTGTAGAGGTTTTCCCTCTAACTGGTTTTCTTTGCGGTTTGCAGGCTCTGTGACAACACATCTTTGTCTTCCTATTCTCTAGTATTGATTGACTTGCTCCTGACAGTTAATAGGCATCCACACTGGTTACTAAAGAGATACGTTATGGGACTCCAGGGTTTATTAAGTACTTATTTGCAAAGAGCAAGGAAGACAGGTAACATATAGTAATCCATAACAACCAATCAGATTTCTAGCGTTAGCTAAGGTAAGAAATCCAAGCTAATGGGTTGCTCTTGTTTGCAACTTACTGAAAATCCCATTGTTTTTTATACTTTATTACTTAATTAATAACATTATAGTTCAATTTGAAAAAACTTAGGCATGGCAGAGGCAGTATAGCTTATGACATATCCAATGAGACAAGGTGGGGGTGGGTTGAAAAGGACTAAAATATAACCAACAAAATTTAATTTTTTAAGTTATATGAAGGGTATTGATAAAGGTAAAGGGTAACTCCACTTTTGCAGGAAAAAAATTAGCAAATAAAAAAAAAAAACAATATAGCATATACAATTGCAAAAGAAGTCATACTGTAATTGAATGTTATTAAAAATTACCTTACCTTTTCAGTCTGCAGCATTGTCATTTTCTGTAATATGCAATGCAATATGGCTACCTGGAGGTATTCTGTACACAGACGGTGTACAGAACACCCCCTGAAATTTTCTGCTTGTGTGATTGGCTTACTGATTTGCACTAAGATACAAGTCATATTTTTGTCATTCTCTGCAACGAAAATGTAATTTCTGGTGAGATACTACCAAAGGGAAAACATGTCTAAAGGGATACAGACCCTAGATTGTAAGCTCTAACGAGCAGGGCCCTGTTTCCTATTGTACCAAATTGTATTGTAACTGTAATGTCTCCCATCATTTTGTAAAGCGCTGCGCAAACTGTTGGCGCTATATAAATCCTGTATAATAATAGTAATAATAATAATGCAGACCCTGCAGTTTTCCTCATTAGAGCCACAGAGGTACAGTGGCTAACTGATAATTATGGTACCACTCCCATATAGATTTACTGTGCACATGAACACAGACAAATAGCTATTTCTTCAGAATAACAAAAGGTAGGAATCTGCAAAAAAGTTTGTTATGATCCCTGCAACTTACATACATCACCAAAAGGGTAATTTTTTTTTTCTCAACAAAAGTGAAGTTACACTTTAAGGAGGGGCTTTCCTTTTAACATTCCCGTAGTTCTCAGAGGAATATAATGGAGCTGAATGGCAGGACCATCTTTCCTCTATGAAACAGGAAGACTCAATAACAATCTTAAACCTGTACAAAATTTAACATCTATCACTGAATTTGTTTTTAGTTTCAACACCAACCAACGGTTCCAAAAAGAAGGCAATATTTTAAACACCGTGTTTTTTGCAGCCAAATTATATTATTTTACAAGTATAAATTTCCCAGTTGGTCTATACAAGAGTTCTACAGTTTCATTAAAGTGAATGTGGAAGAGTTGCCTCCAAGGGAATTACATGCTTGCTCATCCACTTGCATGATGGTGTAGCTGTTACCATGAGAACAGAAACAATTGTAGATTATTAGAAAGGAAGCCTGTAAGTACAGTGAAATTCAGTTGTGCCTTCTGTCACATTTATCAGTTCATTGTTTCAAATCAAGCAGCAGATGACTTATCAGTTATCTGTGCTTTATGTTTTGTCCAGCATCTAAAGTATTATTTATTTTTCCATTGCAGTGTTGAAAAATACCGTATTTTTCGCTCCATAAGACGCACTTTTTTCCCCCAAAAAAGGGGGGAAAATGTCAGTGCGTCTTATGGAGCGAATATAAAGCGGCCGGTCCGGTATTTCCGCTGCCGCCACCATGTCAGAATATGGGGCCGGCCGCTCAGCTGTTCTCTGCGGCAGGAACTCACCTGTTCCTCGGTCCAGCGCTGTAGTCTTCCTGCGCTGGCTTCTTCCCGCCCCGGCATCTGTGACAGCCGGGTGCCCTCTGCGCATGCGCAAGAAGCGTTGCGCTTTGTGAATGGTCCAGTGTCTTCTGGGACACATGACAGGTCTGTCAAAGTCGGGTGCCCACAGTATAGGAAGGAGAACTCCGCGGAAGTGGGAGCGGGTACCTGTCAAAGGTACCCGCTCCCCCTCCCTCCCTAAAGGTCCGCAATGTCTGGTCATGCGCTGTACTGTCTGCAGTCTCTGGTCATCTGTACTGTCCGCAGTCTCTGGTCATCTCCTGTACTGTCTGCAGTCTCTGTTCATGTCCTGTACTGTCTGCAGTCTCTGGTCATCTCCTGTACTGTCTGCAGTCTCTGTTCATCTCCTATACTGTCTGCAGTCTCTGGTCTTCTCCTGTACTGTGTCCGCAGTCTCTGGTCATCTCCTGTACTATGTCCGCATTCTCTGGTCATCTCCTGTACTGTGTCCGCAGTCTTTGGTCCATCTCCTGTACTGTGTCCGCAGTCTCTGGTTATCTCCTGTACTGTGTCCGCAGTCTCTGGTCCTTCTCCTGTACTGTGTCCGCAGTCTCTGGTCATCTCCTGTACTGTGTCAGCAGTCTCTGGTCATCTCCTGTACTGTGTCCACAGTCTCTAGTCCATCTCCTGTACTATGTCCGCAGTCTCTGGTCATCTCCTGTACTGTGTCCGCAGTCTCTGGTCTTTCTCCTGTACTGTGTCCGCAGTCTTTGGTCATCTCCTGTACTGTCTGCAGTCTCTGGTCATCTCCTGTACTGTGTCCGCAGTCTCTGGTCATCTCCTGTACTGTGTCCGCAGTCTCTGGTCATCTCCTGTACTATGTCCGCAGTCTCTGGTCCTTCTCCTGTACTTTGTCCGCAGTCTTTGGTCATCTCTTGTACTGTCTGCAGTCTCTGGTCATCTCCTGTACTGTGTCCGCAGTGTCTGTTCACTTCCTGTACTGTGTCTGCAGTCCATTGGTTCAGAATATTTTTTTTTTTTTTTTTTCTCCTCTAAAACCTAGGCACGTCTTATGGTCAGGTGCGTCTTATGGAGCGAAAAATACGGTACTTTACATCACACAAGCAGTTTAATTGAAATCAGGTGATCACTGATGACTGTCACCCAGATTTTCCAAAATAGGTTGAAACAAGCAGCAATCACCATGTTTTGGTGTTCTCTCATGGTTATGTGATTTTTTACTTTTTTGGGGTTTTATTTGAGATGCACAAAGAGAGATCAAACAAATACTTCTGGGTATAGCATTTAATTACGTAATGACATATACAGATAACAAATATAATAATATTAGAAAATATATAACAAGAAAAGTTAACTATAGATGCCTTTTCACCAAAGAGTCCCATTGCTTCGATTGCTGCTTGGTGCAGATGATTAGATCAGATGCTTGCATGATAGCAGCTCTGAGATGAGATTGCTTACGGCTGTGGTATATAGAACTAGTATGTAAGGAAATGACCCCCCCCTTGAAAGCAACATTACAGTGCCTTTAAAGGACTTGGTTAGTTTCTAAGGACATTCCTTTGGTTCAAATTCAGCTAAGGTAACCAGGCTTAGAATCCATTCTTAGATATTGTGAGCCAATTTTATTATGGAAATATAAAATTTCACAATCATTCGGGTGCAGCAGTAAAGTGTAACAACCCCTTTTGGCAGGCTGAGCTCAACGGAATAAGCACTTATCTGCATTGGATGGTTTAAGCATAATTGAAGGCACACTTTCTTTTGGTTTAGAGTGGAGCAGGAATAGAACATCTGTCAGGTTTTTATTACTATCTGTATCCACATCAGGGGGATTCTAGATATGTGCGATTTGTTTCCTTAGTCTGACAAAATGTTCGTTATTCAGAGATTTGGATGTATTAGAATCTCCGAATCACAACAGTAACAAATTTCAACAAATCCAAAATTAATTATAACAAAACCAACAAATTCATTTGTATTCATTAGTTTAATTTGTTTGCGACTTCAGAATGCTTTTTCGGTACAATAATATTGCCATACTCTGTATTGTTATGATTGTCCAAAGTCAATCAAAGCATCTAAGTTGCAAGCAAGTTGCATCAAAATCACAAGCAAGTTGCATCAAAGTTGCAAGCAAGTCGCCAAAATAACATAATGACATAACAAATGAATCCAAGTCTTCTGTTAATACAAATTGATTTGGAACAATGAATATACAGTACAAAATGAATCTGAATATATGAATCGAATTCTGAAAACAAGTCATTCGAACATAACAAATGAGATGAAACAAAATGATTGACTTAACAAACAAATCTGAAACTAAACACATGTTTTCATTATGCACATCTCTAGGAGATTCACCCTTTCTACTTGTCCTGGTGACTGTTATCACCAAAAGTGAAAAAAAATTTTGGGTGGACATAGATCAAGAATAGAGAGGAAATCTTTCAATGGGGACACTAGTTCAAATGAATACCAAGAGTTTGGATACTTTGAAAGGATTTCCTGCTAATTCATGTTGTGGCTGTGAGGGAAGGGAAAGGAAGTGAATGGAAATCTCTCCAATGGGACACATTGACATCACAAGGGGGCTAACAAGCCACCTATATGGTTGCATTTGGTGGGAGATTGGCTCTCTTTATGAAGACATCTGGCATCTATTAGATTCCTAATGTCTCCCCCACACTCAGCTAGAGCCAATCAAGCACATACAGGGGTTTATTTACTAACGCTTGAGAGTGCAATATCAGGTGCTTCTGCATAGAAACCAACCAGCTTCCAGGTTTTATTGTGAAAGCTTAATTGAACAAGCTGAGGTTACAAGCTGACTGGCTACCATCCACAGCTGCATCAGATTCTGAGTGAACCAGTTTTAGAAAATCTCCCCACTGTACCTAATCCAGTGTGCACCCGGCTTTCTAGATGAGATTTTGACAGCTGTGAATCCAGAAACAGATGCTCCTGGAACTCCTCCCACCCATGATCTTGACAATGTTAATGGTGGTTCAGGGTTCCAGGTAGGAGTGAGAAAGCCCAAGAACAACAGAGCTTGAGCTTTTTTACCTCTTCAGTACTTTGGAAACATTAAACATGTCCAAATCACTGATGAGGTTAAAAGTAAAAACTGTGACTAACAACGAGTACTGTGAGGTTTTGGGCAATACCTTTATTATCCAGTAGAGATGGGCTCCTGATTTGGCCCAAACCCATGGACTGAATTGGACTGGATTTTGGTTGTTTGGAGGTTCAGTAAAAGGTCAGACTTCCCCTGTACTATTCCCACTGATGAGCAATGAGTTGCATGGGGTTGTAAGGCAACAATGAGGTCACTGGCATATTTGACAGATGTGACATTGCACTAATAAATGACTAAAGTAAATGTTTGCAATGGAGTGTATCATCATTTTGCCAAAAAAACAGTGAGTCAATAGTGGAAAAATACACAAAACGAATTATGTCCCCAGAAATTTGATCAAATTGACCAAATATAGATGTAACCATATTTGTTATACTTACCTGCTCTGTGCAGTAGATTTTCACAGAGCAGCCCGACTCCTCTTCTCGGGTCCTCCAACAGCGATCCTGGCCCCTCCTTCCTGCTGAGTACCTCCAGAGCAAGCAACTTGCTCTGAGGGCACCCAAGCCAAGGCTCTGTGTGTCCATTCATACACAGAGCTGTGGCTCAGCCCCACCGCCTCCCTGTCTTAATTGGCTCACTAGCTGTGATTAATTGCAGCAAATGAATGCATAAAGTTAACAAACCTTCAGCCTTTAGAACCACTTTAATTCTAGAGCATGTGAGAAGAGGAAAGACCTCCCCTTGTGATTTACAATTAGCCCCCTTGTGATTGACAGCAGCGAATAGAATGCATGAAGGGAAAATCCTTCAGCCTTTACAACCACTTTAATTCTAGAGCACGTAAGAAGGGGAAAGACTTTTCTATAATGCCCCAAATGCATGTCCATGTCAGTGGCCTCCACCTGTAAAACCATTCCTGTTTTAGGGGCCGTCTCATTGTTGCCCATCTTGTGCACCTGTTGTTAATTTCATTAACACCAAAGCAGCTGAAACTGATTAACAACCCCCTCTGCTACTTAACTGACCAGATCAATATCCCAGGAGTTTCATTGACTTGATGTTATACTCTGATTAAAAAGTGTTCCTTTAATTTTTTTAGCATTGTATATATGAACCATGAACAACCCATTCAGTTTAAATTAGAAATGAAAGGCAAGATATTTGTGTTAAAAAAAAAACTTTATAAATACCTTTTTCCCCTATCTTATGAGTGATCACATACCCTTTGTATTCAGCTGCATAAGAATCTTACAGCGCTGGGGGAGAAGAAGCAGCAGCACACTGACCTTCCCAGTAAATGACTGTGCAGGGGGGAAGGCATGTCAGCAAAAGCCTGATCATTGGAGGAAAGCAGCCTGAGTTTCAGCATGGCTAAAAAAAAATAACCATGCTGTGCTCTCCTGCCTAGTGTGGTAAGTTTTTAATAGGAAAGTAGAGTGACTGGTAGGAACACTATGGATTTTACACAAAGCAACCAGTACAAAGAGAACAAGATAATTTTTAGCGCAAGTGCCTGGTACAGCAGGCACATATAAGGGATGTGAAATGTTGGGTTTACATATTCCTTAACTGTTAACTAATTTACGGCTGTACCATGCAAAAAAAAAAAATATATATATATATATTATAATTGTTTTTTTTGCTTTTCTACTCTATTATACTCATAGGCACTCTAAGCCTGCCCAATTGTGAATCAGCAGATAAGATGTAATATAATGAAGAATGAAGCATGTCCCTCTCCCTTTACTCTTTTCTGCTCTTCCTACACTTATATAAACATTTCAGTACCACTAATAACATTTGCACCTTTGCATGGAAAACTACTGATGAGAAAAACTCATGGTGCCAATAGGTTCCCTGGCTTTGGAGAACTGATCACTGTACCCTATAGAGAGTTCATCCAATCTGCTGAATGCAAGAATTTCAGAAGATATGGTTGAACACAATCAGGATCAATGCTGAAGATCAAACAGCTTCATTTCTTGAAGTTGGTAATGAGTTTAAAAGCAAAGCTCAGAATATTGCCCTATGGAGTAGATTTACTAAAATTGGTGCACTCAGAATCTGGTGCCACTGTGCATTATAGCCAATCAGCTTTTAACTTCAGTTTGTTCAATTCAAATTCGGCAATAAAACCTGGAAGCTGATTGGGTTCTATGCAGAGTTGCAGCAGATTTTGTACTGTCAAGTCTTAGTAAATAACAGCTATGTATACTACTTTGTAATTTAGAAGATTATAAAAGATCAGGCACCAATAAAGACTACAGATCTCAGCAGACTTCTAGCAGAGGGAAAAGAAGCTTTTGCCTAGGAAGCATTTGTTATTTGAAAGTCTTTTGTTTTCTAAAATCATAGTGGTACCAGGTCTGTCTTCAGTGACATTGACCTGCTTGCTGCTTGCTGTTAGTGTTAGGATACAAGTGTTCTTGCATGAAATACCTGCATACAAAAAAATTCTTTACCTTATCCCGCTCACTAATGGCATTTAATCATATGCATAGCTATTTTCTTGGCTCTGCAGTACACTGTCACTAATTTCTC